GTGGTTGAAAATTCCCGCTAAGTGTTTCATGCCTCTGTGGTTACCAATGCTCAGAATTGTAAAATGAAAGCGAATGAGATTCTTCACCTCTCTGACTTTTGTTAAAACCCTCAAATGGGTTCAATTGACGTCAGTCCAGTCCAAAATGAAGGCCTGCTATGGCCTTTGTTATAATTTCTGCAGAGACCCGACATCAACAGAATTAATTTGATATATATTATATAGATATATTTCTCACCTCTGTAAAGCAAATGGCTTATATGGTGAGTTTCGTTTCATTTTTGTGATGTGCTCCAGTTTACGGAGACCGGGATGGCAGAAAGTGCATCCTGTTTGTTTTTTTATTTATTGTACAAAAGTACAATGTTTTGCTCATGTTGTGAGTGTATACAAAAAAAGTAGACCCTTGACACTTTCTAATCACTTTCTCACGGTTTCTGTTAGTTTGGACTCTTTCTGTTTTATCAGCCTTTGCCTTTGTTAATTTGTTGTCATGGTTATTCATTTGATATAGGCATTATGTTCAGGTGTGTGTGTCTCATTATTATGTGTATTTCAGGTTCAGTTCTGTGTCAGGTCAGTTGTCCGGTGTTGTCAGTGTTTATGTAGTGTTGGATTGTTGGAATTGGATTGTTAAAAACTGTTATTTGTCATCTTCTTCGTCATGCGTTTGTATTTACCAAACACGTGTTGTGACATATAAATAAATATATGTGTGTATGTATATTATGTGTATGTATGTATGTATGTATATATATATATATATATATATATATATGTCACTATTGATTTATTTATTTATTGGCTGAATGGCCATTTTATTTTTTCAGTTAATTTTTATTTGAACATGTTGGTAGATATGTAATGTTGCAAGGTACACTCTAAAAAATGCTGTGTTGTTTCAACCCAACTTTGGGTAAAATATGGACTAACCCAACCGTTGGGTTAAATTTTGACATAAAACATACAACTACAGTATAATATACAAAGTACTGTTTAAAGAAGTGTGCTCTCTGATTTTCTTTTTTTCTGACATTAAAGAGTAATGTCTATACATAACTCTTTCTGGGTGTAGGCTTATGTTATGTTATGATGCATTATTTAAGAGATTTAAGTATTGTGTAACATAAGTAGCTCTCAGCCACATTCATTTTTAATAAAAATAGCTCTCAAATGAAATAAGGTAGGAGACCCCTAGTGTAAAGGATTTGTGAATTCTTAAAAAAAATTTAAAAATTAAAAATGAAGCCTTAGCATGTGGTAGGCCAGAATCGTGAACTGGTAACAGACTTGGGTTCTGGGGCGACAAGGATCCGGGAGATCACAGAGGTGGTAGCGGAACAAGGAACCATGGCGGATCAGGAGACCAGGGTGGAACAGGCAGAATGGAAGAACACCATGGTGGATCGGGAGACCAAGGCAAAGTCTGAGGATCAAAGTACCAGGATGGAGTTGATGAAACAGGGGACCACCAAGGTAGAGCAGGAGACCTTGGGGATGCTGGCAGAGCAGGATACTCTGGTGGAACCAGCTGAGCAGGGGACCTTGAAAGAGCCGGCAGAACAGAGGACCCTGGTGGAGCTAGGGAAGATGTATACCACCACAGTGGAACCTGCAGAGCAGGGGACCAGTGTGGAGCAGACAGAACCAGAGGATGAGGGAATAAAATCCAGCTACAGAGTCAGAGTGTTTTTCCTGATGGACAGAACCAGCAGTAGAGGAACAGGACAGTATCTGGGAGGTTTTTCTAGTCAGGTGGAATTGATGGAGAAAGAAGGGTCCTTCTGTGGCCCTTGGCAAAACCAGGGAGTTTTCTTTTGAGGCAGAGACAGAGGATGAAAGGCTTTCCTGGCCATAATAAAGGTGCAAGAAATGGACTCCGTGGCCAAAATAAAGGAGCAAGGAACAGCTTCCATGGCTCTGACAGGATAGCGGCCTTCATGATTAGGACTAGAGGGACCAGACTTGGGATCGCTGGACTGGGCTAGGAAGCACTGAAACCACTGGACTTGGAACCACTGGATTTGGGAGCACCAAGACCACCGGACTTGGGACAGCCGAGACCATCTGACTTTGGAGTGCTGAAACAACCAGACTTGGGAGAACCAGACTTGACCACTGAATTTGAGAGCATTTGAAACCACTCTACTTGTGACCACATGCACAGGCTTTGACATTGACCGAGCCTCTAGTGTAGGCTCTGGGACAGACTTGACCTCTGACACAGGCTCTGGGACAGACTTGACACTGTCCATGGACACTATACATCATCAATAAAGTGTATACTGAGTTTTGTGTATACTATATCATCTATATCATGTCTTAATTCATTAAGCCACATTAACAGTTTTTTTTAATATTTTTTTTCTATGGGAAAGCATTTTCTGGGCTCGTCTGCTTGTTGTATATAGTATGCATCATCAATAAGGTGTATACTGATTTAGATTTTTTAATATCACTGTCCAACAAGCATTTTCATTATAGCAGGTTTTTATGGGAGGGAAACACTTAGCGTGAAACTTTACAGTCATATTCTGAGTGCATCTGCTTGCCTGTATATATTATATATCATTAATAAGGTGTATACTGAGCTTGTTTTTTATATTATATGTTTTGTATTAGTCCATTAAGCCACACTAAATAAAATGTTGTTAGTGTTAACCATGTTGAATTTCAGCCCCTAAAAATGCAAGCCCTGATAATGTAATGCATTTCCCCCCTTTTTTTCAGTGCAATTTAGCTTACTGTTTTTTTTTATACATCTGTCATTATTTTACTTCCATAGATATTTTGATAATTACTAATAGCAACTATAATGTTAATTGTATCAGCTGAAATAAGCTGGAAAAAATGCTCTAAAAAAGTTATTCCAATTGTATTGTTTTCTTTGTGACATTACCATTATAGTTGTAGTGTGGATGCCACTATTCTCTTAGAGTTAGACAGAACTTTATGTTCATACAAATAGACAACAGTCTCAACCTTAACCATAGCAAATTTGGAATCTCTAACTCAAACCTTCCAGTGCCACTAACTGTCCAAAATCGCACTCATGTTTGTGCTAAAATAGAAACTGTCAAATGTGATATTAAGGTGAATTGTATGCAGTATCTTAGCAATGCTATACTGCCCATTGCTGAAACGTCTGTATGGGAAGTACAGTTAAACCTGATAGAGAGACCATATGCTAAAAGAAGACCAAGAGTCAGATTTGAAGTTCAGTCAGTTGACAGAGAGCTTACTGAAGACAGGGTTCCCCACGTTTTCAAAGGACGTAAAAAATAAGTAAGAGGTGCCAGCTTTGAACTAACTTAGAACACAGAAACACTAGCGTGTTGGTCTTTACATGTCTCATACGGCTATCATGAGAACCTCATAATGAAATGAATAAGAACAAAGTTCAAACTGATAACTCTTTTTTTATTAAATATATTCAGATGAATTATTACAAAACAAACACAAATTTATTCTCTGGAAGCCGGGCTAAATGAGTGAACACTATTACTGCATTCCTGAAATTAGTCAGACCCTCAGTCACCTCTCAGATACCAAATACAGACATTACTTGTAACATAAATACCAGAATAGATACACTAGTTTTAAGAAAACGATGGTTGCATATTCATTATTTGTATTAATTGGAAATCCACCCTTTCACTTTATATGTCAGATCATGACCATGTTCTGATGCTCCCTGCCATGCTTGCTTATCTCCTCAGTTTGCCTCTGTTGTGCTTGGCCCCTTATTTGCTGCTTGCAGCTATATTTAATTATAGTTATTTTTCTTGGTGTGGACTGGCCTTAAAGGGTCAGTTCATTTACAATTACATGGACAGGGAACACGTTTCACATTGTCCATAATACAGTTTCATGTCAAATATGTAATACAATTTACAATAATAGGAGTGGAAATATGATGCTAATCAAAGCTGGATGTGTTTTAGACTCTATTGGCTTTGCAGACTCGTCATTGTTGTCAGCATTCTCACCATGTAGCTTATGCATGGGCTCAGCCCACATAAATAAATTGTAGGGTGTTTACCTTGAAAATGCACTTCTTTAAATTTAAGCGCATATTTAAGAGCATGTATGGCTCATTTTCACTGTACATAGATTTTAAGGGATGAAAAAAATGCATGCAAATGTGTTAATTCAACAAGGAAAACAGTCTATGATAAGACCAAAGTGCTAATTTTGTGATGTTGCTTTGACAGAACATTGTGATGAGTGCCTACACCAACTGTTGCGGTAAACTTGTTTAGCACAGTAGAAAGCGTTGGTCTGTTCGCCTGTGACTTTCTTTGCTGAATTTCTAAATGCAAATTAAGGTTTGCAAGAGTTGCAAAAAAGAATCTTCCAATTCAATGAATATATGGACAAGTGTGGAACTGCCTTTACAGCTTAAAGGTGCAATGCAAGAGGATAGGAAATGCATTCAGACTTGGCGTATGTTGTCTGTGTGGTTACCAGAACTTTGTGGTGAAGGCAGTTCTCATGAAATCCTACACTGTAAATATATATATATATAATAAATCAACAACAGCAAAAATAACCTGCAACCTTCTTCAGCACAGTTCTTAAGACTAAGAGCTAAGACTAATGCAAACTAGTTATAGATGTAATAATTAAGATTTAAGATATAATACTTTCTGTAGCTACCAAGCTGTTTTGTTTTTTATTTTTGTCAGAAATGACCTCACTCTTTACAATAAGGCAGATTTAATATGACAGCTGATTCTAAATGAAAATTACAGTTGGTTATAAATATGGTTAACATTGAGAATTATACATTTTGATAAAAAAAATCAACAAGGGATGTTTTTATATGAATTTTATTAGACAATAATTCAGGGTGTTATTGATTTTTTGGCCATAAAAAAACAGTATTACAAAATATAAATAAAAATTGTTATTGTTTTTGTTTGCATAAAACCACTTAGTACATATATATGTCTTGAAATACACAAACTTTAGACTATTATGGCAGTAAGTTTAATGTAGTGTTATCACAAAAAAGGAAAGATTTAATTTATTTATCATTAACTGAGAAACACTTGTTAAATGCACTCGTGGGAAGCTTAAATTCCAGTTGCAAGTGAAAACAAATTGGACTCCAGTTCAATTATGGAATATGAAGTAGTTAACTGGTCTGTACATTAAGATTTACATGAAACTTGATATGAGGAGAGATGATGGCTGTACTGCTCGACACATTGTGTTTAAAAAAAATCTTGATGTACAAATTGAGTTTATTTATTGGAATGCTTAGGAAGGAAAGTTAAGTGTTTTGTTTGGAGATGAGTGGTTCTGGATAAATGCAGAGACGTAGAGAGACCAAATCTTAGTGGCAGATGCAGTTGAAGCCCACGGCTCATAGTAAAAGGCAGGAGCATTTGGACAGCTTCTCGTGGCTCAGCAGACCATGCTGGGTTGTGGCCAAATTCTGGATCAGGCTCCAGAAGTGTTTGAAGCTGATGCCTTCCCCATCTTTCACACCCATTTGCTTCAGCACTTCTCCAAAATTATCCGACTAGAGAAAAAAAAAAAATAGAGAGAGAGAGAGAGAAAAAAAAACTGGTGTTCATGTATTCTGTATCAACATGTAACCCATTTCACAAAGATTTTCCACTTTTGCATTTGAAAACTGGCCCTTTGTCGCCCTCATGTGGTTGGTCTCTATGGCTTCATAATAAATATATTTAGGAGTCTTTTTATTTTTTAGGGAATGATTTTTAACTGCTTAAACAGTTACTGTGCAAATTCGAATACAGTGAATACAAATGATAACATATTCAAACTTTCAGTTGGAATCTTTAAATATAATCAAATGATTAAACTTGGCAACACTTGCAAAAGATACTTTTTCTCTAAATCTATACAGTCTGTACAGATTTTCACTCTTCTGTTACAACATGAACTGTGAGCAGACTTACATCAGCACTGAAGTACGGGATCACTTAAGTATTGTTCAAATGTGACAGTACCATATACCTCAGAGCATTAGACCTTCATTCAACTAAAAGAAACACAAAATCTAGTATGTCAGAGGTTCTCCCTCAAGCTGTAGGAGGCCTGCCATTACATGATCTGATACCGACTGTAAGTGAAGAGCAGCATCAGTTTGACTGCAGGAGAAATTATTAATCTTTCAGATCAACGGCAGCCACCATTTCGCTCCTTCAATGGAGCCACACCCAGTGTCCTTCGCTGGCTCAACCTGAGTTCAAACTGATCTGTGTAATCTGACCACGCCTCTATGTAAGGCAACAAACTCTGGGAAACATTCTCTGTGAAACCAACCAGTCCCTCAGACTGAAAAATAGTTCAATTATGGTTAAAAAAAATAATGGCAGTTGTGGTTGCCAGAACTTTTCCGTAATAAATATAGTGACAGCATTACAGGCAATAGAGGATGATATACATTTTACACCAAATAGAGTTCCTGTTTGTAAATGACATAAAACCTATTCATGCTACTGAAATGAGTTAAATGCACAGATGCTAATAATTAAAACCTGCATGCTGGCTTTAACGTTCAACAGAACTGGTCTTTCCAGCACATGGGGCCAGTAATAACACAGACAGTGCACTGTGTTTCCTACACAAAGACAAAACACCACCAGAGTAACACACAGGACTTAAAACAATGCAAAAACATTTACAGGCCTAATATCATTGTTGCCATAAGGTAATCACTTAACTGGTTTCGCTGTGGCATTTTCACAGTATCTCCCACTGAAATTATTAACAGGTGTTACGCTTTAACTATAATAAAGCTTAGTGCAATCACAGGAAATGACTAATAACAGGTTTGAGTCATTGGTATCTGTTAGAATGAATAGCAACACGGGTTTTACCTTGATTAAAGTTGGCAGCTGGGAGGAGAGGAGGTTCTTGAACTCATCTACCTTCAGCGTAGACCGGTTATCAGAAGAAGCAGAATGGAAGTTTGTGACCAAGGTGTTAATGGCCTTCTCAAGGTCAGAATACTGCAGAAGTAAGAGAGTACAGACATTGTGTACAGATGAAGACAGATACTTATATACTATATCGAAGAATAATATAGGTGGGGGTTTTACTTCAATAGTAAACAGGTTTTAGTTCAAACCAAAAGGGTTTCATAGATTGATGTCATAGGAGAACCTGTTTAAGTTTCACAAAGAACTTTTTATTCTATAGTTCTTTAGAAAACCACTCATGTATTGAAACGTTAAAGAGCCTAGAAACAAATACACTGATTTGGAGAGCTTATAATGATCTTTTTTTGCTCAACTATCATAATTAAGTTGGAAAATGCAATGCACGGAACAGAAAAATGCTATGACGATATGTACATATTTCAGTATTTGGAAATGATTACATCAGTTTTGGACTGTTGATATCTGTTCTTCTTGGCTTCTATAATCAAGCGATGAACATTCAAACTGAAGCAATCATGTGCATCTGTTTTAATACAGATCAATCACCACTAAAAATCTAAAAGCTTGTGCTTTTCCTTCTTCTCTCTAAGACTATCAGAGCACTATCAAAGGACTATGTAAACTGTGTCTATTCAAACCGTGTTGCACTCAGACAATTATCCAGTACAGGACCTGAAATACCTGCATGTCAGGCCATGAAAGCCCATCCTCAATGCATTATTTACGTTAGCCGTGCATTTATGATGGAAACCATTTCCCTGTTTTGTTAAGACAAAAGGTTAGGCCTGAAATACATTTACTGTATGGTGTTGAAATGCATAAAAACGTGTTGGCTACGATAGTAAAAAGTTTTAATATGTAACCCCAATTGCAATCTTGACCATTCAACAACTTTCTACACACTTTCTCCCTCTTTCTTTAAGACCACATAGTCAATCTTCGTCTTGAGGCTTCTTCCAGAGAGCAACATCGCAAAGACTCTGATTGATTCCCCGTGCTTTCCATTTCTACACAATGGCTGTATGTCAAATCCTAGTGAGCTGCCTGCTTAGACAGCATTTGTGGGTCTCATAGGCGCGATGGGGGTGGTTAGGGCAGGGACTCGGCCAGCTCACTGGGTTTTGACACACAGCCATTGTATCCTTTGCACAGATAGAATTGCGAACGTTTCATTGCAGCGAAGCTCTCGACTCATATGGCTTGAATTATCTTGACACTGGCCATATTTCTAAGACTCGTTCTTTGTTAGGGAACATTAACAAGAGGCCGCGCTCCTGCGTTCAAAAGCAGGGAGACTCAGCGCAGCGGAATGTGAAAGAACGCAGATTCATTTTTGAGAGTTGAATTTCAGTTTACTATAAAACCCGGTGATTATGGTGCAAGACATGAAAAACTGCCAGACACGTCAGGACGGCCAAAGACATCCATCAAACGCGCGTCCGCGTAAAAAACAAACAGAAGATAGCCGAGACGCGTCAGTGGCACTTGTAGTTTATCGATTGCTCGTAAAAAAGAAAAACAAGTAAAAACCTTAAAAAAAAAAAAAATCTTTTAAGAGAAACTAGTTCCTTTGTCAACAACAAACTGCACCGTTTCGGTCAAGTGCGTTAGATTACCGAGACTGACAACAGAACAAACCGTCGAAGCGCAGCTTATGTAAAACACTCATAAACCCATAACCGCGTAAAACCCTATTTAAATGTAAACGAGCAACCACACACACACACACACACACACACACATAAAAAAATCTTTTAAGAGAAACTAGTTCCTTTGTCAACAACAAACTGCACCGTTTCGGTCAAGTGCGTTAGATTACCGAGACTGACAACAGAACAAACCGTCGAAGCGCAGCTTATGTAAAACACTCATAAACCCATAACCGCGTAAAACCCTATTTAAATGTAAACGAGCACAACCACACACACACACACACACACACACATATATATATAATATAACGTAAACCACATTACCTGTGACGCCATTTCATGTGATTTGTTTTATTTTCTTGGCTCTAGACAAACTTTGCTGTTCCCGTCGTGCAGTGCTCGGTACTTTACACTCTCAGCGTCCCATCGCTTCTGTCACATCTTGGCTGACATCCTGAATCCTCCCACTCGGGGGAAAAAAAACCCCACCTTCCGTGTCAGTGACTGCTATGGTAAAAAATGTCTCCTGTAATTTGATGCTTTAGGACAGTGAACCTAACGGGGCGGAGACGGTCGGGTTTCATAGGAAACTCTGGAAAAAACTCTGGAAAGCCAGGTTTCCGTATGACACATTTTTGTTGATGGATAAAACTATTGGAAAACAGGCTTACTGCTCCTTTGGGAACACATCTGGAAGCGCTCAGGATAAAAATTATTTTGCGCAACAACAGGCCCCTAGTTCAGAATGTGTGATTGGGTTTGCATTGGACTCGTTTTTATGTAGGAATCTTTTTTTGTTTTAAAGAACTAAGAAGTTCTGACAGATATTCGATGCACAATATATTGTTTTGGTTAACGTAGACTAAAAGTATACTTTCCTATTTTTAGTTTAAAAGAAGTATACTAATAGCACACTTGAATAAACTTCTTTTTCGTAAGGGTACGTCTTTTTCATGATGTTCTTTCCAGGAATCCTTCAGAAATACTGTATAGCGGGATTTCCATTGAGCAAGGCGTGTCCCTGGTCAGATCAAAATTCAGTGGCTTTGGCTGTCTTCCTCTACTTGTTTTCTGAACAGTTCTGGTAATGCACAGGCAAGGGCATGCTCAGCATTTTGGGTGGATGCACTGAGAGTACTAGACACACCTTTGACAGCATTGCAGGAGCGTATTACTAGTACAGAATATAGGACAGCAATGCATAGGTGTGTATAATCATGCAGATGTACACATAAACAAACTGAGCACTGAATTAGTCAGTCTGTCCTCATCTTCAAACTGTTGCAGGACCCTCTTGTGCAAGTTCAAAAATGGTAATTGATACCTAGTGGGCTTTGTATAACTGACTCAGAATTACACACACACACACTATAATCATATGAATATTTCAGAAGTTCAGAGACTTTTTTCACTTTGCCATATGTGCACACACAGAGACTGATGCACATATGAACCCTTTTGAAAAAGAAGTACTTAATTGCAGTTTAATTAAAATTAATTATGAATGAATGGTTAAAGTGTCCCGCCAAATACTGACAAGCATTTATGGTATAACTAAAGAATACTTTAATGTCATTTCTACTGAAACTTGTATGTCATGTATTTAAATATTTTTGTATTCACACATCGCAATTTAGTTCATTTAAAATATATTTACTTTAAATGTAATATTGAATTAGACACTACCATTAAAATTATAATCAAGTACTTTAGATGTGCTTTAGTATGTTAGTCAGCACATCAAAATAAGCATATACTACAAAATGTCCTTTAAATAATTTTTTTTTTATTTGACATTATTACTAAGTACACTTTAAAAGTGTACTTAAGTGTGTTAAGAAACATGAACCATGAAAATAAGTGCACTTAAGTGGCCTTTTATTTCATTTTCTGCAGGTACATTTTTTAAATGTATGCTTTTAATATTTGAAGTACACTACAATAGCACATTCAATACAATTAAGCACACTTCTTTTTCACATGGTAATACAATGGCCCTTTGTGTCTGTCTTATGAAGTGTTTTTGTCAGGTTCTTTAGTGCATGTTGATTCTGGTTTGTTACTGTGTCAACTTGAAAGCATCATGTTTTAGCTCCATCTTAAAGTATATTGTAGAAGGTCACAATTTTTCTTTTTCTTGCTACACATTGTCATTTAGTTTGGGTGTATGCACAAACAGCAGTATTTCTCACTTCAGATTTGTAGTGAGCTGAAATTCTTCACATACCACAGAGTTTTTTTTTATGGCAAGCTGCCATTTGCAGGCTGCCTGTTTTACCAGCAGTCTACTGAACATGTTACATACTTACAAAGAGAACAAATGTGCTTTGTAAATACAGACTCGTGTTCACACTTGTATGGTTGTGATGCATAAATTATGCATGCCTCAGAGTTTCAGCATCAAGTATTTGCTCATGAGTGTGTCATCATCTACAAAGGTGCTTCAATGAATGCCGCACTCTTTTGGATAACTAAACAGAGTGAGAGAGAGACCATTGGAATATATAGTTAATCATTTAAAAATTGATTTTTGAATTTGTATTTTGCCAAAACCACTGGAAAATTATAGTACTAGCCTATAGTAAAAATTGGTTAATATATTTTTTCAAACCACCTGTCCAACTGTGATCACTAGCAACATAACTTTGAGAAATAATATCAGTGTGCCTTCCAACCTGTTACTTTTCAAATAAAGAAGTATCTAGAGAAGCAGGAAACCTGAGCACATAAGGATTAGTTCCCTGTCATCTCAACAAGGATTGAAATATGACTGATTGATTATGTATTTACTCTGCCTATTCTGATGCCAATGTCACAAAACCCTATCCTGTTCAAACCTGTCCGAAACTAAATCTACATCTACCCTGCCTTTATTTCTCATAACTACTGACGTCACAGAGTCATGACTCTCCTTGTATCCATTTCTATCCTTTCATCAGTACTGGAGCACAGGCTCCATATTTCAGTTCCCAATCAGAGGCCTGGGGCCCACTAGGGGCCTCAGCAAACTTCTAGCAGGGCCTCAATATGACTTAAAATAAGACGGAACAAGCATTAAAATGAGCCAAAACAACTAGAATTTTTTTTTTACCACCTTATCAACTATTTTTTTCTGTTGAAGAAGCAGAATTCCTAGAAAAATCTAGAGCTCGTGCCCCAGTGAAAAAGCGATGTACAGTTATTGTTTGATTTCAATAAAATGAAATGGCATTAGAAATCATAATGCATATAAATTATGTTTTCATATCTATTCATATTATTAACTGATCCAATGCTCACTGAGGAAATTAGTTTGTTACACTGATTTGATCTGCAAAAAGTAGCATAAAGTAGCATAACTCAAGGAATGTTGTTGTTTTAGTGGTGATTAAAGGCTATATTTGAGCTTTGTATTTTTATTTTACTTTATTTTTTAAGAGGCATACAATGTGAAAGCTAAATAAATGTAGCATGAAGTAGCATAACTGCTGAGTTGCCTCAAGGAATTTTGTTGTTTTAGTGCTGATTAAAGGCTATTTTTGAGCTTTGTATGATTTACTTATTATTTTTATTTTTTATCAAGATGTATAAATCTTAAATCTTAAAATTGTGTTGTTTTGAGCCGATTAAAGACTATTTGTGAGCTTTACCAGTACATATGTTTGGATTATTTTAAAAGGCATAAAATATGAAAGTTATTTAAAAAAAAAAAGAGAGAGAGAGAGAGAGAGAGCAAAGAGCAAATCTACACTGTAAAAAATGACCGTGAATTTAACGGTAAAAGACTGTAAAAATGCTACAGTAAAAACCTGTTAAATGGTTAACGGTAAATTCCCCTACTATATACGGTGAAAAACTGTATTGGACATTACATGTATTGGACATTAATTTTACGGTAGTATACTGTTTTTGGAAGTGTATAACCGTAAATTGCCGTCAGTGAATAACCGTAAATTGACATTCCCAGAATTCCCTGCGTTACATTTCAAATTTGATGTTTTTTTTGTTGAAATAACTATGTTTCTTCTTAGTTTTTTCTTATCAGTTTTGTATATTAGGGTTGTGTGTTACACCTAATGTTGTTAAATGAATGTTTATTGCATTATTTCAGTTTCATGTGTGTTACCATGATGGTGTTTGGTGTTTGTGTGAATGACACTGTGCACCTTCTATATATGTTGTTATTTAAAAGCTGCTTGTGATGGGCTTTGGTTCATCATGTGACTTAAATTAAAATTAAAACAAGTGCATTATAGGACCATAGGTTTGGTTTTGAGTATCCTGTGTTTTGTGTAGTCACTGACTACTGCAAAAAGACCCTATCAGACGACTGAAAGGAAGACCAGGTTTTTGCTGAACTAGTCAGATGAAGGTTAGATTCTGTTGTGATCATCAGACTTGAAAGATGAGCATCTGGCTGATGATGATCTGGGTGTCTCACACCATGGGAACAGGTAAACAGTTTTTAGTCATTTTGTAATTTTTATTTTATTAAATTAACTTTAAATTTTTTATGTTCCACTAAATTGCTTAAAAAAATAAAATGTATTTAAAGGTACTAATGTGCTTTAATCTGTGAGATATATTTATTTGTTTGTATATTTGTAAGATAATTTTTTTCACTTTAGCAAACGTTTAATATGCAGAAAGCAAATGATAATGGATGGCCTAGATACATTGATGGGCTGGAATTTCGTAATTACAAAAATGAAATTCTTCTTTGTTGTTTGAAATTGAGTTGTATAAGAGCTACACTAAAAAAAAACAATAAGTAGATTTACTTCATTTTTATTTTGGAAGTTTTTGCACACATAAATTTTAAGTAAAATTTAAGTATTGAATTAAGTAAAATCTACTTAACTAAGTTAGGTAAAATTAGCAAAGGAAACAAGTAAATTTAACATGGCCAGTTAGAGTTCGATGAGTAATTTCTACTTAATTATTTTGTTAAATATGCAAAACTCAAATACATTTCCCTCAGTTACAGTTAAAACAACCATGCTATTAAAGCATATGGTTTATTTGCAAACATGTACATAAGCAAGTAGCTAGCTTGTTGTTATTTGAATATAATATATTATGTCCCCTCAATAAAATTATTACCCAAATGAACAGGTAATAATAGAAAATAATAATAATAGAAAAGAGCTAACACAATCACAAACATTGCAATCTTTTCATCTAGCGACAAAGCCGTTCATTGTAACACAGTGGCCGACAGTGGCTGAAGTGATGGCTGGAGAGGACGTCATTTTAAAGTGCAACATTGTAGAGCTGTACTCCCCGTGTTCGACAGTGGCTTGGCTGAAAGTCATTCCCGAGAACGTGACGATCAGCCTCACTGATAGACTTCAAATTGATCCTCATCACTCGTCCAACCAGTTGACCAGTAGCCCTATTTGTACTGCTGTTATCACCAATTCAACGGTGCATGACTCCAGTATGTACTACTGCGCAGCTGTGCAAAGCCGCTTTG